TCTGCCTATGTTATAAGTCCAACCTTCGCATACCCATTTAATTAATATCTGACTATTGAGGGGCCAGATTTTTTGAGACTTTGTTTCCCAGCATTCATCCAGAAATGCCTGGGGTTTTTCAGCATTGAACGTATCATTACACCACGTCTTGCACTAACCGCAGCCGAATTTCTGGCTTACCAATGTGAGAAGCACGTGCTGGTCGTCCTCACTGATATGTCTTCGTATGCGGAAGCTCTTCGAGAGGTAATATTCGAGCCCTTACATTGGCATTTTTTTACTTTAGTTTATAAAAAAGTTTATAAAAAAGTGTAACGTATTGTAGCTGCCTTTACTTTCATTTATCTGAAGTAGTTAAAATCTCATCGTTTATATATGTTAATATAAAACGATCATCTAGGCTATATAAAAGTACAGTATTTGTGATTTATGTGTAAATATTATCTAGGCTATAAAGAATAGGCTATAAAAATAATATTTTCAACTTATATGACTTAGTGGACCGAAACATTTCTTACCAATTTCAGCTTATATGACTTAATGGACCGAAACATTTCTTACCTATTTTTCGAAAAAATTTTTTTGTAGAAGTAATTTTTTAAAAAATTTTAAAAAGTTACAGTTCTTTTCTATTTTCCCTTTTTCGTTTTTTCCTTTTTTTTTTCTTTTCCCTTCTTTCTTTACATTACTTTTTTCTTTAACTATTAACTTTCAAAAAGAAAAAAACTAGTGTAAAAACAGTCGATAATCAAAGTAAGGAAACTTGAGATGCGCGTTACAGGTATCAGCAGCACGTGAAGAGGTGCCTGGTCGACGTGGTTTCCCCGGTTACATGTACACCGATTTAGCCACAATATATGAGCGTGCTGGACGTGTGGAAGGACGCAATGGATCGATAACTCAGATACCTATATTATCAATGCCAAACGATGGTACGTCCTTATCTCCCATATTAAGCGGGTAAAAACAAGGTTTTGAGGCCCGTACTGCCTTTTACTTTGTAGTTTTTTTGTAGCCCCCTTTACTGGGAAAGCATCGGTGTAGAGAACGCCATACTTATGAATTTTTGTAATCGAATTCAGAAATCGTGGAATATTTGAAGTGTTATTGATTGTCCCAGCATGTAACCGTTCAGGGCAATATCGATTTTTACTTCATAAAATTTACAAGAATTATTTTGGTGAAAATCTGTAGCGCATTGTGCGTTGTCAACCTGGTTGCTACAGTCTGCTTAATCGCTGATGCCCCTCCGTTGTTACCCTTAAACAGTTCTTTATTAGTAAAGAAGCGCACAACCAAAAAAAAATCGGAAAAACAAACCGCAAAAAAACCCGGCAGTAACTTCGAGTTGCCACCGGACAATACAAGGGAACGGAAGCAGAAGAGCGGCAACTTTTATATCAGTTCCACATTTCATTTCTAATCTTACATTAAATATCACGGCGAGGGAACTCGAGCCAGGAGACGGGACATTTGCATAACACATGAAATCGAAGGGCACCTGGGCAAGGCGAAGGGGTTTAGCCACCAACTTTGTTTTCTTGCTGCTTGCACCTTCTTCCTTTTGACAACACTGGCGTTCCTTCCAAAGCCACTTTCACATACGCAAAGCTCTTCTTGTTTCAGTAACATAATGAAGGGACAGAGATTGGATAGTGTTCTGTGCTTAGATTTATTTATTGGGTGGTAGAGACGGGTAATTAGAGCAGATTTAGCAAAATATCAATTTTGCATACAAAATCAGTTTGGGGGAGTGATGTTTAATAACATTACTTTTAATATGAAAATTGAATGGGAAATTCACATGCAGGGCATACTTTTAACATAAAAATTGAATAGGAATTTCACATGGAGCAGACTTTTAACACAAAAATTGAGTAGGAACTTTTGATTGAGCCAAGATCTCTAGAGAGAGGCATGCCTATGGATAGCAACATCGTTCTGTATTTGATTCAAGTCGGAAAAACGGAATTTCTTCATGGATCGAAACATTCCAATTCAGTTTTTATTTTTACTTATTACTTTCTGGTTACAACCTTTTTATAATAACCATAAAATATTTAAATTTAAATCCTTATAAGCACATTCCTTTCAGACATAACACATCCAATACCAGACTTGACGGGCTATATCACCGAGGGACAGATTTACGTGGATCGTCAACTGCACAATCGACAGATTTATCCACCGATCAACGTGTTACCA